TGAGAAGGATCCACACTTGGCTGAGGTGCACAATGGGACAAGACAGGCTCCATCATCTTGCTATTTTATCAGTTGAAAAGGAAGAAATTTCTAAGCTGAATCAGAGTCTAGTGATTGACCGCTTTGCAAAAATGAAAAATAGGAGGTACACTTTAATGCTCAAAAAATAAAAGAAAAACTTAGTTCATGTTGAGTTAAACTTTCCCCTGAACTAAAACTCTGAAACCTAGGAATTAATGATTACTTTAGAATGTGTATAAGGAAACGTTTTATTTTTTATAGCTGCAATGTTGAAAATGTTCATGTATGTTAAAACAAATATGCTCTTACACTCATTAATATCTCAACTGGTAATTTTGGTAGAAATGTATCAGGGTGGGGCAGTGTGCTTGTCTGTATTTGTGTATGGCAGGAGGGGCATATACGATAGGGGGCCAGTGCCCCAGTAAAGCTTTGTGCCTAGCAACGCCCCTGGCGTTAGCTTGCATGACCGGCTCCGTCATGCTGGTTTTCCTTGCATATGAGCACCACATACGTCACCTGACTAAGAAAATGTAACGGGATTGGCTGGGTGTTGGACACCACAATCCATTGCTAATGTCTGTGTCCTGAAGTAACCCTTCCCTTTTTACACTGAATTTAGACGCCGAACTTAAGACAGTGAAATAGAGCCAGTTGAATCTCAGGAGGCTGAAAATATTGAGTTTGAATTTTGAAAGGTTGAATTTTTTTAACACTCAAAATTTAAACTGAAACAAGTATTGAAAATGAAATCACTTTGAAATAGTAATGTGAATTTTTAGCTTGAAGAGAAAATAAGAAATGAAATTTCAACTGTGTAGAAATAATAACAATTAATTTTTTTTAGGTCAAAAATGTGTTCTGAATATATTTTAACACTGAAACAGTAAGCACAAACATAAAACATTTAAATTTCAGTGGCATTTTTAATTTAAATCCCAGCGACACACATTTATTTCCATAAGGGCTTCTTATTATATAATGATCTTATTTTGACCCAACAGATGAAAACTAACAGACATTTTTCAACAGATCCATGAAAATGCACTTCCTAATAATTCCATTTAGAATCTTCAGCGGTGGAAACACAGGCTCAAAAAAAAAAAAAAAAAAGAAAAAAGGAAACACAGGCTCATATGGGCGGGTCCAGACACGCCCACACAAGTTCCGTTTGGAATGATGTCACAAAGGTGGTGGGCGGGATTAGAACAAAGAGTGATGTCATAGGCTTCAGTAGACAAGACATTCTCATTTCACGCTGGGACATCGTTGTGAAAGTTCTTGCTATCAAGATTGATTCTGTTTGGTTTAATTTTAATGAGTTTAATTCTGCTACAAGAACAGCACAATAAACCATAATGCCAGGAATAATAACACCAAGGAAACGGTCTGATAATCAGAGCGTTTTTTTGGGAAATCGTGAAGAGGCCCCTGCTATGCAGGTCAGTGGGAACGATAAGCCAAAATTAGCAGATCGTCCTAAACTGAGGAAAAAGAAACCTGGCAAGAAAAAAGGTAAGCAGGGAGACACGCTTCCAACTACAGAAGAGATTAAATATGATTGGAACGGGCCCAAAAGTTCAACTAATCAGTTTGTGGAATATTACAATCTTGCAGAATTGAGAGAAATGTGCAAAGAGATAGGGAGTAATAGACAGGAAAAAACTGAAAAGTTACTTTGTACTGAAAAAAGAACAGAAAATAGTAATGAAAAGTCCTCTTTCAAAAAATTACCACACATACAGAGAAAGCCAAAAAATATCGCTATTGAAAAGAAGAGAAATCAGGAAAAATATCAAAAAAGTATGGCTAAAGAGGTAGAGGTAGACAGAAAGTTAAAAGAGTGGAATGACAAAGAGCAAAAAAGGAGATTAACTGAATATTCTAGGCAGGTCTTGCTGCTGCCTTCTCTGGACAATGTTCCCTGTGTAAAAAAACATTATGACAATCCGATAAACACGCAGAGGGTAACAAATGAGGGTTTGAAAAGCTCTTCTCTTACTACATGGGATATAAGACGGATAACGCGAGAGGAAAAGGCCAAAGATGAAGAGAAACTTAAAAAAATTGTCTATGACCAACTTGCAGAAACAAATTCAAGAGGATGATTTGGCTAGAGAAAGGGGTATAGAGAAGGGATTGGTAGGATGGGGTTTAAAACCAAGGCCACCAAAGATAGAAGACGCTACGAAAACGTCTCTTCCTGTGAAAGCGGTGAAACATGATAGGGAAGGTGTTGATCTTAATCCATTCAGGCAAGAGTACTTTGAAAAGATCAAACTTCGCGCGGAACGTCAAAAAGCTGTGCACGACGATATGGAAAAAATTGTCTTTGGCACCGATGATGTACGTCGGGCTAGATTAGAGAAAACAGAAGCTTACAAGAAAGGCAGAATGATACTTAGAACAGCAGAAGATAAAATAATAGTTATGGAAAGAGAAATGCAAATAAAAGCTGCAGCCAATGCCTCTCGGATTAATGAGTCTGATAACCAGATAAGATCTGAAAAGCAAAGAGAGGAGGTGTGGGACAAACAGAAAATCATGAAACATGATAAGAAAAATGTTCTTCCTAATCCATACAGACAACAGCATTTGGAAAAGATCAAATTTCGTGATGAATGTCAAAAAGCTGTGTACAACCAACTACATGATCAGTATATGAAAAAAGTCTTCGGCGAGAGTTTCAAAAAAGAAGACTGTCACAAAGAAATCACAAAGCAGGAATTTGCTAACAACATCTCTGCCAGACAGGAGAATAAGAGAGAAGCTGCAAAAGAAAAGGTGTTTAGAGATCCAGTGGAAGCTCAAATACCATCTAAACGGCAACTGGAGAGGAAAATGGATAAGCCTGAAAGGAAATACAGGGAATTTGAAAGGAGACACAATGAAAGTGTTGAAACTAAAGCTGATTTTCTCCAGGTAAACAAACCCAAAAGAGAGAGTCCAACATCTATCCTTGCCGTGCAAAAAAAAGCTGCAGCCAATGCCTCTCAGATTAATGAGTCTGATTATCAGATAAGATCTGAAAAGCAAAGAGAGGAATGGCACAAACAGAAAATCATGAAACATGATAAGGAAGGTGTCCATCCTAATCCATACAGACAACAGCACTTGGAAAAGATCAAATTTCGTGAGGAATGTAAAAAAGCTGTGTACAACCAACTACATGATCAGTATATGAAAGAAGTCTTTGGTGAGAGTAAAAACAGGGAATTTGAAAGGAGACACATTGAAAGTGTTGAAACTAAAGCCGTTTTTCTACAGCCTCACCCCCCTGAAAAGCCCAAAACTCCCCAGAAATGTTACATAAACGGGCAAGTCAAAGTACCAATTACAAAGACGGGAGGAACTATAGAGAAGACTCCTATGGAGAAAAAGCAACCTAGGATATGTCCCAGAAAAATCTGCAAAGCACAAAAATGAGAAAGCTGCTGCAATTGTTGTTATTGAGGCCAATGCACGGGATTCCATCAAGCAATTAAAACAGCAGAAGACAGGGAAACCCCATGAGTCAGGGATAGAAGATAGGTGGCGCAAAATTTCAACATCGCAAGTAATTGCAAAAGCTAAAGATCACAGGAAAAAAAACAGCTTTGAATAAGGACGTCAACGGCACTCTTGAAGCGGCAGGATCATGCTGTAATACCTGTTCAATTAATTCCTTCCTTTACGGTTCTCACCGGGTTCTCCGGCTTTCCGTCAAAAGCACTTCTACGTTCATGTTAAGGCTATTGGAAACTCTAAAAGTTTGCAATTTTAAGTACATATTGTTTGGATTAGGTTGTCAATAGATATGGATGGCAGCTAAAAAAATAAAATAACAAAAAAAAACATAGTAAGGCCTTAATTAAAAAATTTTTTTTTTTTAATTATTTTTAATGACCAGCGGGAACCCTGTCAATCAGTAAAGGTCCTAAAACATTTTTAACTATAATCATTTACTTTAAACAATGTAACACTGACATAAATTGAGGTTTGTATGCATCCATGGTATACATTGAATAAAAAAAAAAAAAAAATTATTCCATTTTAAAATCTAAAGTGTTTTTTGTAGAGAACAACAATCGTTCAGTTCGTTATATTTAGACAATTTCCTGACGCTCATATTTTATGAAACACGCAAAAAGGTGTGTCTATTGTTTTAGTTCCAACCCATGTCAAAGCCATTAAAGGAAACTTAAAGGTCCCCACTTGGTTTGTACAGAACGACTGTGGTCCACTTATTGTGGACCACTGTCTTATATAGCTATAGGAATTTTGTACAAAGTCAATCCTAGAGAACATACAAATAGTTTGTTTATTCAGTCAAATATTTTCAAATGTAGGGATTTGTTTAATTCAAAATGTTGTATCAGTTATGTTTAAAGCTAGAAAGAAAATATTGCCATTTAATTTAAAAAAAGTTTTTTCCTTAAGCTCAATATACATATACATATATATGCGATATATATGAATTATTTCATATTTCCATTTTTTTGCCTTCTTAAAGCAGGTAATCACCTGATATAATGTGTCCAACAACTTATTCTTCATAAGTGCATCCTTTCAGTGTTGCATATTTGCTTAAGATCGGGCATGACAGCAATCCGCTACTTTGGCATGCATCAGTTCATTGCATCCTTTATTGAAGTTTCACAAATCAGAGAGGTTTCACAAATCCCAAACCTGGTTTTAATTATTCTACAAGTAGTAGAATAATCTAGTCCAACTTAGATGTGTCTAGGTGTTTTAGTTTTAGACCTAGAACACTTCTAGTGTGACATGGACACTATGTAAGTGTTAAAATTTGCCTTTAATTAAGTTACACAAACCAGAGAACGGTTTTACAAATCCCAAACCTGATTTTAATTATTCTAAAAGTAGTTTAGAAAAATCTAGTCCAGGTTTGATTTGTCTAGGTGTTGTAGTTTTTTAATTAGAGTAGATAAAAGTTGCTGTAGGTAGGGAAAAATTAAGTGGAATCGCCCTTTACTTATTCCTCGAATCGGAAGCCAACTTCCGCTTCGTCATAGTCAAAAAGGGACGGAAGTCATTTGCACTGTGGATATACAGGGTAGGTAACTTTTTTGTTATTATTTTAAAAGCAATGTACTTATCAAGCGAATTGTTTATAATATTTTAAAATTGTTCCAGTTGTTTTAATACAGTAGTTGTGCCTGATAGCTACTGTAGCAAAACAGCAGCTAGCTAACGGTGCTAGCTAAGCTGCTACAGTGAAAGTTAGTTAGCTAAGCGGAAAACTGTCTGCTGAATAATGTCAACTGGTTTCGGTCTTCAAAAAAACTCTCAATCGGTGAGTTCTGCAATATTACTACACATAAAGCGGTATTAGAATAGTTTCTTTTAACTTTTGTGCTAAAGCGTAGCCTAGCTAAGCTAAGCTAGGACATGGGTCGGGTGACTGGAATCGTATTCAGTTATTTTATACATATTTAAGAGGTAACATTCAACCATTTGAACTGTTCTGCAAAGAACGAAAAGTTTTAATTGTACAATAATGCCAAGTTTAAAGTAAGGTGACCAGATTTCTGAAAGCTAATCTGGGGACATTTCTAGCTCAAAAAATTAAAATAGAAAACGGTGACAGTGATGTTTTCATCCATTTTTACATATTTATTAATATTTAATCAAAAATCATGTGTGAAATCCAGGAATGCACCTCTTCCATTTCCTAAGATAAATAATAATAATCAATCAACAGTGTTTATTAGTGCCATCTTCCCTTGTGAGAAACATAACATTGTGTTCAGGGAAATGCCAGTTTGCATCAATACAGATTCTGTGGGAATTTCCCTCTTTTTCCTTTCCAAAAAGTTTAAATGAAACTTTTTTATATTTTCAAATTGAAAAACAAATTTTTTCTACATGAGGATAACTATAAAATGAAATACCCTTCAGTTGTTTATACTGTATCCTGGACAGCTGCATTGCATTGGGTAGCCTCCAGCAGCTTGGATTAAAATCTGTGTCCCTATTTAAAAAAGTTAAGTTAGATTTTTATATTCAGATTAAATTACAACCATTAAAACGCATCTATATATCATGTTTAGTCATTACACGTATAGATGAAGGAAAAATACGCTCTCGGGGCATAAAAATGTGTCCTTTAAAAAAAAAAACGAATATATTTTCACAATCATAAACCTATTTTCTCTTCATAGATACAGCTGTACAGCTTTTTTGTTTAAAAAGGCCGTTATCAATTTTGATAGGATGTAAATATAAATAATATATGATCATAGTTATCCCTGTTACAAAAAATCCACAACAAAATGAAAATATTTGGGCAGAAACTGCATATATGCTGGATGCTGATGGGGATTTTTAAAAAATATGTCATATTAAATGAATATTGGAGGAACAGCGGAGGCTGTAGGCTTTGCTTTACGCAGGTGGTCTGGAGCGCAACATGGCAGAGTGGAGACGGAGGATGTGAGATTTCAGGGTAACACAGTGCACCTGGTGCAGTTCTCATCTGTACGTTAGCAGCTGTTTCTTTGCGCAGCATGCTCACGTGCTCTTTCTACCATAATAACAGTTTACATGCAACATTTTACCCCTCATTCATAAAACGGTAAAGTCTGGGACATTTCCGGGGATAGGTTTAGCCGGGGACAGGTGGTGGAAAAACAGGGACTGTCCCCGGAAGTCTGGGACATCTGGTTACACTAGTTTAAAGGACACGATTAGCTGTTGTTGTCCGAAAGGGTTTGTTTGGTTAGTCTTGCTCCATCCTCTGCTTCATGTGTTGTTGTTGTAGGTATGTAAATGTCCGAGGATAAGGAAGCCCAGGAGAATGAGCTGCTCGCTTTGGCCAGCATCTACGATGAAGATGAGTTCCGACGCGCGGACACTGCTCAGGGAGGAGAGATGCAACTGTGTCTTGAGCTCCCTCCTGATTTTAAGCTGCTTGTGAAAGGTGTGTCAGTAACTCTGAGTGAATGGAAACAAGAGAAGATGTGGTATTTAATTATAATTCTCCTTTTTTACAGGCGAGAAGACGGCTGAATATAATGTCTGCTTTTTACCCCCTCTGGTGCTTAATTTTGAGCTTCCTGGAGACTATCCATCTACATCCCCACCTATGTTTTCGCTCAGCTCCAAATGGATGACCAAAGAACAGGTATTATGTTAACTCCTTTTTCCTCATATAACAGTAAAATATTCTTAGCAATGAACTGATTTCTGCACTGTCCTTGTGTATGAGTAATAGTCATAGCTGCTAGATATAGATTCAGCAAGTCATCTCCATGCCACATACACCCAGCTGCTGAACCAGGTGAGTCCAATCTGCTCTATTTAGTTCAGTGTGCATATTGGTTTCACCTGGTTTAATGTTGCCACTACAATGGGTTGAAGAAGCAAAAACCTGTCTCAGTTATTGTTTGTTTAGATTCTAGCAGTGCTCTGATTAGTATTAAGTAAATATATTCAGAATCTAGACAAGATATAATTTTTGATATTGTTCCGTGTTACCAGAATAAAAAAGACATGGGATGCAGGTTACTTGATGGGTTCCAGCACATAGGAGAGGAGGGAAATGCACGGGCAAAACTTGCATGCTAAAAAAGCAGCACAAAAGAAGCAAGTGGACCGATCCGTCCCGATAGTGGAACCAATAAAAGCGTTGTTGCGACCGGGACATTTAGGAGATGCGCCATTATCTTTTTAAAATATGAGCAAGTGTAAATGTAACGAAAGTTGGCTATCCAGCCAAGAGTTTTCTCCATGGCTAAAACCAGTACCAGGGAACATGCATGAGGCACAGTGTAAGAAAATAGGTGGTTTGAGAGGGGCGTGAAAGAAGCCATCTATGTTAAGAGAGAAAAAACAACTTTAAACAGAGGTGGTGGACTCAGATTCCAGCTTCCAAAAACATACAATTCAATCATAGACATGATCCCTTCCAGATATCACCAAACCCCCCACCCCATGACAGAGGAACGTTCACCGGCTGGACCTACCCGCTCCAGCCGGTGAACAACACCTCCTTAACGACCGACTCTTAACAATCATAACGGCAATCCCCCCCCTTAACGACCGATCCTCAGAATCATAGACAGGTTTCAGATATTACAGGCTAACGATGGAACCAAACGACCCATTCATCGGTTACCATTTGCATGTTTCCAAGCAATACAAGGCTTTGTCTATATAAGAATCAAACTCACTGCGGATCCAGACATTTGAATTGAGAAAGCTTCCTGGAGAGGTGGCGAAACATCTTCAAATCTTAGAAACCAAGTCCAGTGGATATTTTTTAAATTTTTACAGAATGACTATGACCTGGATGACTGAGAACCTTCATCAACGCAGTGTATTTTGTACAAGAAGTCATTCAAGCTCGGAACGTTGGGAATTAAGGCAGTGGAGTCGCACATGCGAAGCACGAAACACAAAGCATCAAAATCGAGTTACCGATTCTCAGTTTTGTTCCACCCTTGTCTCTGCAACGCCTCCACTTATCACCAAATCAAACATACCGTATTTTCATGACTATAAGGCGCACTTAAACGTCTTTTTTTTCCCTCAAAATGTGCGGTGCGCCCTTTGGTGTGGTGCGCCCTATGTGTGTTGTAACTGCGACTTTTGAGACCACCTCATTAAGGAGATGATGAAAGAGTGGCTGAATGTAAGGAGACCAGGTGTTTTTTTTCCACTCATCACCATCGCTGTTAATATGTAACTCCATGCGTGCCCATCTCACAGCTGATGTGAAAAACACGGAGAAACAAATTAACGCTGTGCTCGCTGTTCAACCGCTCGACATCGGTGTGAACCGGACCCAGCAGGTGCAGCAGAAGCAGCGAGTTTACATGCAAAGTCAATGGTTGACGCGCGTATAGGCGCAGCAAAAGGTCCCGCAGCGCGTTTTGAGCAGCAGGTGCAGTGCGTCGGGAGCGTTTAAGCATCTGACGCACCGCCAACGCGCTGCTGCTGCTCGAGATGGAAAAATTGAAGTTTTGCTGCTGGACGCGCCGCATCAACCAATCAGAGAAGCTGATCTGGGAGCTGACAGCGAGACAGACACAGCGCTCTGATGACATATGATATTAACACAAATGAAAAAGGCTGGATGGATGAGGAGATGATGAAAGGCAGGTGTATGTGAGGGAACAGGTGGTTTTTTCCACGCATCACCATCGCTGCGTGCCCATCTCACAGCCGATGTGAAAAAAAAGGTGAATTAAATGAACGCTGTGCTCGCCGTTATCCCGGGGGGTCTGACAAAGGAACTTCAACCGCTCGACATCGGTGTGAAGCGGCCGTTCAAAGTAAGGCTGCGAGCGGCGTGGGAGCGATGGATGACAGACGGAGACCACAGTTTCAGGATAAGTGGAAGGCAGCGCCGGGCAAGTTACGCCACCGTTTGCGGATGGATTGTAGATGCTTGGACTAACGTGTCTGCTGGCTCTGTTGTTCAAGCTTTCGCAAAAGCCGGCATTATTTCTGAGGAGCCGCGCTGCACGGAAAGTGACTCTGACAGCGAAGAAGGGGAAACTGGCATGTCTGATTTAGCGCAGCTGTTTAATTCAGAAACAGAAGATGATGACTTTGATGGGTTTGATTAATACTTTGTAATAAATACATGAATAAAGCACAATCATACTCAGTTTTGCTCCCGCTCTATTTTTCTACCTGAAAACTTAATTCAACAGCAGACTCTGGGCAGGGTTCACCGCGGCGGCTGGCAGGTGTTTTTCATCTAAATAATCTAAATCTTGCAGCTATATTTGCTGTGATCAGTGGGAATAAAGTGGTTTTAATATGTTTTTAAGTGAGAAAGTCCACCTGAAAACTTAATAATTGCAGTCAGTTCATCCAGATTATCTATTTCTGTCGGAGCCGCTCAGACCCCCACATACCAGCGGTGCGCCGACAGTAGAAATCCGTTCAACAGCAGCCTCTAGGCTGGGCAGCCTCCGGGTTCATGCGGTGGCTGGCAGGTGTTTTTCATCTAAATAATTTTAACTGCAGGCACAAGGATACCGGTAATAAAAGCGGACATATTCCGTCGGCAGGTTTCAGGATTTTATGTTAATTTAGGAGTGACCACAGCGCTGTGTCATCTGCGATGTGTTTGTCTCACGGTCAGCTGCCAGGTTTGATTAATACTTTGTAATAAATACATGAATAAAGCACAGTCATACTCAGTTTTGCCCCCGCTGTATTTTTAAATACGCAGTAGAGCTATTTAAAGGTAGTAGAGGACATGTACCTGTATATAAAAAATGCGCCCTATAGTCCGGTGCGCCTTATGTGTGTGTTAAATACAGAAATGGGACACATAACTGAGACTGCGCCTTTTAGTACGGTGCGCCTTATGGTCATGAAAATACGGTACTAAGAAAACGATACAAAGAAAAATAGCTGCAAAAAAGACTTAGCACTGGTTATGTTGTGGCTTTAAAACGGATTTGTTTTGTTCCCTGCTAAAACAAAGTTTGTGAATTCAGTTAAATAATTGTTCAAATATGTCTGTCATTTGTGTGTTTTTAGCTTTCTTCCTATATGGGAAGCTTTTCAAAATTTGAAACAGTGCAGTGGTTTATGTTCAAATAAACTTTTGGGTTAAGTTGTCAGAAGCAGGTTTTTCTTGTTTCTTGTGAATTTGGTCTTAGATTTGTATTTCAAGTGGCATTAAAAAGTCTTAAGTTCTTGAATTTAACTTGCCTTATGGGAGACATGTAAAGGGAGACATTTATATAGAGTTCAAAAGAAAGTCAATCAAGTAAAGAGACAAATGGAAATAGAAAGGAAGAGGACATTTTAACAAGGTTGAAACTGGGACACACTTAAAATCGTAGGGAAACTGCTTTTCCAACCGTCGCAGTTCCGAATTCTCCCGAGTGGTGTCCGACTTTACACGAGTGAATAAAGCGAATTTGGTTGGTCATTTAATCAGAGGGCGAGATTGTTGTGGTGGAAGGTTCGCAAGCAATTTGGTTATGGCAGATGTTTTGGAAACCTCTTGCTAACGAGTTAGCAACTTAGTGCTAGTAGGTTCCCAATGGGAAATTACACTGGGACCAAGTAGCATTCGCAACGACACTGTCGAGGAACGCTATGGACAGCGGAAACATGCAAGAGCAGTTTAGAGTTGGAGGTTGTGGATGAGTCCCCTTCGTCATACATTTTTTATTTAGAGGAGGAAAGCGGGGACAAAGATGTTGTGGAAGAGGACGCCAGGGCGGCAGAAGCTTGGTTTGGTGTAGAAGGCTTCCAGCCGTTCATGTTTGAGCCCTTGCCTCGCAACGCTGCCAGTTCTGTTAGCTCTACGCCTGCTGAAGACACAGACGTCCATCCACGTGAACACTGGAAAGGAACTCGATGGGAAAGGAAACTATTCTTATTTCAACCGTTGTCTATATTAGCTGCGACATGAATCTAGATGCTATGACCGAAATAATTTGATTGACAGATGACCGTTGATATGATTGGCCGAATTTAGGTGTTCAAGCTAACGGAAAAAAAAACCAACACAGATTTTAAGACAGAATTTTTTTTAAAAATAGAAATGTTTTAACTTTTGGAAAATCTGGTCTGATAAAGAGTTCATTTATGTACATGTTTTAGCCAGAATGATTTGAAATTGAAATATGTCTTCTCTACGACTTTAATAACACACTCCATATAATAGGGAAACATGTAACAGGGATCTGTGATTATTGTGATGAGCGGGAAGACTTGGAGTATGTGCTGATTCACTGGAGAGAATATAAACACTGGAAAGATAGACTTAAGAATATATATAATTCTGTCATTTTTGAAATGCCTTATTGTTTTTTATCAAATGCTTGCTAGCAGTCAGTCGATGTATTTCATGAATCCTCTTCTTCCTGTAGCAGATGAATTGTACCATCGACTGAAATCCAGATTTGTATCATAATATCAATTTTAATCATATTGTCTCACCCTGTTAGGAATAACACTGAGCTTTTAAAGTGTATTAATAGTAAAATTGACCAATCATATTTAAAAGGAAGCCCATCTATGATTTATTTATTTGTAATATATGTTATTCACAGCTTTTCCTCCTTTAATATTTGATCGTTCCAGCTGAGCTCTCTCTGTCAGCGTCTGGATGAGTTGTGGGAAGAAAACCAGGGTTTTGAGATCCTCTTCACTTGGATCCAGTTCCTCAAAGAGGAGACTTTGGGCTTTCTAAGCATCCAGTCTCCTCTTGAAGTCAACAGGAGCATCAGTAAAGGTGCCGGTGAACGAAGGAAAACAGATCCTCTGGTCAGAGGTATTTTTCTCTTATGATTTTGTTGCTAGATTGTACCAGGAATTTTTAAACCAGTTTATTTACAAATTGTTAAAAAAAGGATTGATTCAAATTATAATTTTTCATAAAGTTTTCTAAGTGTGATTTCTTTTGTCACTTAAAGAACAGAGCAATTCAAACTGATGAACATCCACTCCTTGGGGGGTTTTTTTTCTATATTAGTGCTCTTTGTTTTCATTTGTCCTTGAGCTACCATGGTAAATACTTATTTTGATCAAATTTAAGTATTCTGAAGGTTAAAAGTGAATGTTCAGTAAGAATTTTTTTCACACTCGCACCAATATTTCAATGAATATTGTGATTCTTCTAGAACAGATTCCTTAGTTTGCAACATTTTCTTAAAAAATATTCTTTAGAGGGCTTCAGGAGCTTAATGTTATGCTCAAATAAATAAAATACAAACAAAAAACAGCTTAAACGTGTTTTTGAAAGTATTGTCTTATTAAAAACGCCCAGTTATGTTTACACGTCAACCATCTAGCTTTTCATTTAAGGTGTTAATCATGAATTTGGATGTAGCCTCCCTCCTTTATCGTTCCAACGACTTTGGCTCTTTGGTAACTTTAGAGACCCACAGCATGACGCTACAACAACGGTGTCTCCATTCTCTCGAAGGCTTGTTTTTTTTTTTTTCCCGTCCTTTTCTATGGTAACCCCTCTGTCCATTGTCGGGTCAGATAGGACAGTTCCACTGGTGTTCCAGCAGCTTCTGCTTTATGACAGGCTCAAGGCTCAGCTTGTTCCTAATCATGATAAACCAATTTGTTTTCATCTGAAGTTTAATGTTTGGCTCAGGTGGCTGAAACTGTTATTCCAAACACGCATCAACCTGATTTTGGAATGGATGAAGATATTACGAAGCTGCTGAAGTCTTCCTGACTTAAACTGCTTTAAAGATTAGGGTTATGTCTCAAAGTTGCTGTCATGAAACCTCTTTCAGCAAACCTCACTGTTTTTGATGCAGTAGCTCTTTTGGCTGAGTGGCTGTGATCCATGGAAAAAATGACTTCATCCTAGATGAAGTGATAACCGAAAGGACTTGGATCATTTCAGAATTTTAACATATTGTCTTTGTGTCTCGTAAAAATGGTTTTCATGCAAATGTATGTTTTGCCTTTTTTAGGTTTCTAAGTAAAAGCTTTTTAAGATAATTGAATTTTTTCTTGAATGAAAAAAAAACAACAATCTTTCTCAATCCTCTGTACATCATCAGGGCTCGATGTAGTTTTTATTGTTGGGAGAGTAGAAATTTCATTGCATTTCTCCACCGGGCAAGTGCAATGATCGCAAAAAAAAAAAGTATTTATCTCTCAAAATTACTTTAAAATCACCTACATTCGCTGAAAACGACCCACAACTTTGCCGGCGCCATTTTTGTTGTTTTGTACACATTCTTGCGTGATTTGAAAAAGCCGTGTGGTTTTCCGCTAGATGGCGTGATTTTTCTCTCCTTGGGGAGAGAATTCTGCAGAGCAGCAGCTGGATGATGAATTTTAATCTATACTATAATACACGCTAGATTAAAAATGATCGGTCAGGGATTAGGAAAATAATAATTGTATGTGTACAGTGTAAATATTCCTATCATATGGCAGTCCTCTGTACAGTGGTCATACATTAAAAAATGTTCATTAAATTTTTTTCTCTTAGACATTGGAGTGGTGCATTTAAATGTTATAGAGCTAAACATGTTAAATTGGTGAGTAGTGGTAGTGTAAGTTTTTAACCTGTCAATTTTTTTTTTTTTATGATTTTTAACATTACAATTTATATTTTTCCAAGCACACAACAGTTTAAAGCAAAGTTTAATTTGAAAAGAATCTGCAGGAAGGATTGAAAAGCCTGTTAACACGGTAATGTAGGCTTGAGTTCATTATCTGACGCATGCATATACACACCAGGAACCTGGAAACTTAAAAAATACTGAATTACAAAAAAAGCTTTTAAAAAAACAAACATGTTTCATTTATTTATTTATATATATATATATATATATATATATATATATATATATATATATATATATATATACAAAAATGAATATTAGGAACTGTATTTATCAAACATTATACTGGGCAAGTAAAAAAATACAGATCTTTGCTTTTTTTTTTTTTCTTTCAAGCTGGGACACAGTGCGGCAACCAGTCTGAAAAATCAGAGAAGAAGCCGGAGGTGAACAAAGAGTTCTCTGAACAACACTTCTCAGCATCGTCTCCGTTGGACCCGCGCGCCGTGGTTTTGATGGACCCCAACTCTGACCCCCTACCTCAGCTCCTGGACTTTGATGAGGTGCAGCGCCAAAAGGCGTTTGACAGCAAGGTGTTCTGCTGTGGGATCTGTTTCTCAGATAAGCTGGGCTGTAACTGTCTCTGCTTCAAGGGGTGCCAACATGTTTACTGCAACACGTGCATGAAGGAGTACTTTCAGATACAAATACGGGACGGCAATGTCCAGTGCCTTAACTGCCCTGAGCCCAAATGTACCTCATTAGCTACTCCATCACAGGTAAGAACTGCAGATTAAATTGGAGTTTTCTTAGATTATCTGTTTACAACATTTTTTTTTTTAAAACTTTAATATTCAGGTAAAACAGCTTGTAGATGACGAGCTGTTTGCGCGCTATGACCGTCTGCTCCTGCAGTCGAGTTTGGACCTTATGGCTGACGTGGTGTACTGTCCCCGTCAATCCTGTGGCACCGCTGTAATGGTGGAGCCAGACACAACTATGGGCATTTGCTCAGCTTGTCAGTATGCTTTCTGCACACTGTGCAAGCTGGGCTATCACGGTGTGTCCCATTGTAAAATAACTGCAGGTAATGATCATTCCTCTCATTTCATTTATACTTTAAAAGTATTTTGCAGAAAGGAAAGCTTTATCAATGAGCCCAGTGTAATTTATGCTATAAAGAAATTCAATCTCAAGATAAGGAACTGAAATAAGCAAATAAATGCGAGAAAAAAGAAAAAAATGACAGCAAATCCTCTTGTTTTGCTTCTTAGACGATCTGCGTAACCTAAGAGACGAGTACTTGTCAGCCACCCCTGAGGGGCAGAAGTTTATGGAGCAACGCTTTGGGAAGAAGGTGATCCAAAAAGCAGTGGAGGAATCTTTCAGCAGAGACTGGCTCAAAGAGAACTGCAAAAACTGCCCACGCTGTGGAACCAACATACAGGTAGCCTTTACCTTCCCCTAGAGGTGACAAACCTTCAGCAAACTTGGACCACTGAAAACAGTTTGTGTCTGAATGACAGCTTGTTTTTTGTAATGCCATGGCCTTTTTTTTGTGTGTGTTTTTCAGAAAGTGGATGGCTGTAACAAGATGACGTGTACGTCTTGTAAACAGTATTTCTGCTGGCTGTGCCTTGGTGTCCTCAGCAAAGTCAACCCATACAGTCACTTTAACAACCCAGCTTCACCCTGTTATAACCAGTAAGTCTGCTTCTTATGAATGCATCTATTTTCATTTTATATCCAACTTGTTGAATTTATATGTTTTCAGTGTTTCCCACAGGATTTTAGGAGACTGTGGTGGGAGAGTCTCTGACCCTCGTGGTGTATCCCACTTAAAGGGGAACGCTGTTGTTTTTTTTGTTTTTTGTTTTTTTTTTACATTGGGCCCTTGATTTTACGTTATTACATCATGTTCTACTCACCCATATGAGTTTTGTGTCATTTGGAGCCGTTCTGAAGATATTCTGTTAGGTTATATCAAAGTAACGTCTTCCTATGGGCAACGACTTGAAGGCACAAACTAATCTGTTCATAATTTATTCTTTATGGTACGCCAGCATTCATGACATGTAGGCGAATCACTGTCCCCCAGACATCCGCGGTTATATTTTTTATATTTATATCTTTTAAAAACGTAGCGACCTGTGTATGACGTCGTCCGCTTGCGCCGGCTACCGTTCATTCTTCCTGTCCGCTGAACTGCTGCTAGTTTTACTCACATGCCTGGAAGATGTCTAGTGTTACTACCACAGATGATCTCGCTCTCCAAATGGAATTGAACGATTCAGATTAGCTAGCCGAACAAATATAAGGGGTAGAGCGTAGCCGCCTGTGGCCCGGCTGCCTGTCACAACTCCAGTCCGGCAGCAGTTCAGCAGACAGGATGAATGAATGGTAGCCAGCCAGATGACGTCATACAAGCGCCGCTTTGTTTTTAAAAGATATAAATATAAAAAATATAACCGCGGATGTCTGGGGGACAGTGATTCGCCTACATGTTATGAATGCTGGCGTACCATAAATGATAAATTAGGAACAGTTTAGTTTGTGCCTTCAACTCGTTGCTCATAGGAAGATGTTACTTGGATATAACCTAACTGAATATCTTCAGTACGGCTCCAAATGACACAAAACTCATATGGAAGAGTAGAACATGATGTAATAACGTAAAATCAAGAGCCAAATATAAAAAACAAACAAACAAAAAAAACAAAAAAAAAAACGGCGTTCCCCTTTAAGTGCATTTTTGAGGCCACTTTTTTTTTTTACTTTTTCTTTTTTCCCTTGTGGTCCACTAAGGAGCCTACAAATCATTATATTAGAGAGGAAAACACAATGGACAAGTTGATAAAGTGACTGTTATTTAAGATAAAACATTTCAAATTCAGTTATTTATTTTAGACCAAATAACATTTTACATTTACATCCCGCTCGTTCCCTGAGGGTAAACATGCTGTGGCTCTGACTGCAGCGCTGAGAGGGACTCCTGCGGGGTTGGGACGGGGAGGCGCCCCATGGCAGCACCTGCAGCTGGAGAACAAGAGTAGGAGCGATACGTGTTTTCACCTAAGAGTCTCTTAAAGCCTCCAGTGACAACAGAAAAGTCGCTAGATTTGTCGTTGGTCGCTTTTTTGAAAGAGTTGCTGGAGGGGTCTGAAAAGTCGCTAAATATAGCAACAAAGTCGCTGAGTTGGCAACACTGACCGGGCGAATTGGGCGGCATTTTTATAAAGGAGGGGGGGACGCACGCTTCGAAAAAAAAAAAACATTTGGCGCTTGGAGTAGGTCTCACCCGGGGAGTAGAACCGCCACTGACCATCTATGAGCCTGACGCGCATTCTCCCTGTCGCTTGGTTACGGTCGTAAACAAATTGTCTCTCTATGGCGCTGGGTTACGGGTGGTATGAAAGTATAGCTGTGGAATGGTCGGATAAACAGACAGATGGTTTTGTTGTTTTTTTTCTCTCTCTCTCTGTCTATATGAGACTGGCGGGCCCAAATGAGACTGGCGGCAATGAAATTGGAGTGACATTGTTTTATCCAAGTCCAGCCTTGAGTGTAAATTTAATCCTGTCTGACCTCAGTAGTTGGCTTAAACGTAAAGTAACACATATGAAGCTTAGTGTGTACTATAACAAGGTGTTGAGACACTGGGCTTGCATTTCAGGACCAAAAAGCATTGATAAGCTGATATTTTTAACTTGAGCTGTATTGTGAATAGATATTATTTAGGTGCGTTGAGACTGAACTGGGTGTCTGCGAGCCCCGCATGAAATTCACCGCTCTTCATTTCAGATGCACCGTTTACTCCCTGGAGCTCATCGTCATATAGAAAGCAAATGGACTGAATGTTTATTGCTTCTTAAGGGCACTAAAGAAGCAATTGTCATTTGTAAAAATGTAAAAAAAGTACATTAATTAAAAAAAGCTCAAATGTGCTGCTGCTGTTTCAGAGAGATTAAAGATATTTTTTTAGGTCACCAGAAGATCAATTATCCCCCCCCCCTTAAGCTCTGAACTGAATCAAAATCATCTAGCCTACTTTTTAAGCGCTACTTTATTTGTTTAGGTAACTAAACTATTGTTTGTGCTGGTTTGGCTTTAAATAATCTTTAATTTTGGCCGATGACATCAACATCCCATCACCTGGTATTGCTGTGCTCAATCCTGATGGAAAGTTATTGCATAACATCTAATGTCATTCCTGTGCTGGTTCAGGGTCTTGCTCAGAGAGCCAGAGTGGCAGATGTGAGATCTTCTGCAAAGTGAGATCAATAAAGTTAAATAAAAACTTTTTTTTTTCTTCAAAAAGTTTTTAAATTAAATGTAACTCTAAGCACTGCAGGAGTAGTCAGAGACAATTTTTAATCCTGAGACAAACTAGTTTGTTGAGAAAGGGTGCCCCCTTGCAAGTATGGAATGCATCGCACCCCCTTCCCCATCTATTTAATGTGTTTCTGCAGCAGAGGTTGGATCACCAGAATGTCACAGATTAACACTGAATGGGGCTGTTAAGCTCTGCCTGTAAACCAAAACATAAATGATGCCTCTCTACCTCCACTTCAGCTGCAAACCCTGCCTTGAACTAAATATTACCAATTATGCTTTTGATATTCTTAGAATTTTTCATCTTTTTTTTTTTTATTTTAGCCAGATCCTACACCGTAGCTAAATGGTCTGAATATGTTTCTTCCTTCCCTGCTGCAGACTTTTCCATGGCGTTGACGTGGATGATGATGAATTTTGGAGCGATGAAGAGGACTGACATCAGCAGAGAGCCTCAGAGCTTATGTTATATAAAGCACTTTATCTTTGATCGTGTAACATCCCTTCTGCTGAGCTGGAATTTAAATGCCACTAACTCTTCAACACAGTTTTCAGTGTTTTCAACATCATCATGCCAAACAAAACATCAGCTCTCTAAAGTCCCCCTTATGTACCTCCTTTATTTGGGTCTCCTGACTACAGCCACAGGGATTTTGGTGAAGTCCCTGTTTGGATAGGCTTTACCTTTTTGTTATAAACTGATATAGGTCAGTTGTGGCTTATCGATCAAGCAGGTTTCTCCCTCAAACGTTTAATAAAAATGTTGCAAACGTTAGAAATCAACAATCGTCATTTTACCTGCTATGTAGATTAATTCTACAATTTCCTGTTGGAAAAAGCCCTTTTTAACCTTTCAACGACCATTAAAATAGGGAGTATCCACTAAAAGCTTCAATTGAAAAAAATCAAGGTGGCTTAAATTGTCTGTCTCAGTTTTCTTGGTAAATTAAAGCAGAATTGAAAAAAAAAAATTCCATATATATGCTAGTTTACAACATACAAAGTATGTATTTGAACTATGTAATGGAGCCCAACACTTTCAGAACACTCGGTTTGCTCAGTTTTTCATTTCATGTGCTGTTTTCAACTTGACATGCAGAACTGTTGTTGTTTGAAGCTGCTGTGAGCGAGGAGAAACTCATTACTTCAGCCTTAAAATGCGCACGATTGAATTTACTCATCTGTTCACGTCAACGTTCAATGCATTTCTCATGTTAAAAACCGGGGACCTGCAGAGTCCTGATGAATGCATTCAGCCAAATAAATGTTCCAGTAAAAATCTTGTGTTTCAATCCTTTCTGCATAACTTCACCACTTCAATCACGAACAAAGTTCTAATAAAACCTTTTCATTTGGATATAATACCAATATTGTAGTTTTGAGTATTGGTCGATGCCAGCAAAGATACCTGACATCAGCATTAGACGTTCATACTTCATTGCTTTTGTTGTGTAAAACATTAGGCTAGACCAGTGGTTCTCAAACTTTTTCTGTCATTCCCCACTTTGGACAAGGGGGAATTTTCAAGCCCCGCCTGTCCCCATCGCCCCAACACAATGCTAATGAAATATGAAACAATCTTAAAATGTTCCAATTTTATTGAAGTAACAAGTAGTATCTAAATACAAACTATCTACATCAAATAACAGCAAGCTCAAAAATAAAGAAAATAAAAATGCAGCTGTGTCAAAATTTGTATCAAGCTCAAAGATAGAAAAAATTAAAGTGCCACTCTGCAATCTGTTAATAAAAGAAAAGAAGTGAAATCCATCTGGCAAGGCAGGTCTATTTATCCCTGCATTAGTGGCTGCAATGAGCCTGTTTTGCATTGCACAGTTTCTCAAAACGGTGTTGCAGCCTTGATACTGCCACTCTCAAGTCATGCTTTGTTTTCAGTGAAGCAACAGCTGAAAAGCCCATCTCACAGAGATATGATGTGGCAAAGGGAAGAAGAATGCACACAGCTCTCTGCCCGATGAGTGGATACTCCCTCTCCACTCCAAACCAGAAACATGAACATGTGGCTGTGTGAATCAAACGCCGTTATTCATTTAAGATAAAATATTTCAAATTCAGTTATTTATGATCAACCTGCGCCGTCAATCCCGGCGCATGTGCGCTTTATTTGCAGTCTGGACGCTAAAGTTAAACATGCTGTGTCCCTTACTGCAGCGCTGAGAGGGACTCCTGCGATAGCGGGGGAGAACGGGGTTGGGAGGGAGGAGGCGCCCCACGGCAGCACCTGCCGCTGGAGGACAAGAAAAGGAACGATACGTGCTTTCCCGTAAGAGTCTCCAAAAGTCGCTAGATTTGTCGCTAGTCGCTTTTTTGAAAAAGAGTCGCTGGAGGGGTCTGAAATATAGCGACAAAGTCGCTGAGTTGGCAACACTGGGGCGAGAAAGTTTATTCCGTTACAAATAATATGCTGACGTCACGTCAATCATTATTTTGGCACTTCAGTTCCAGGTGAAATTTTTCTCATATCTAATGTTCTTTTAATTAGACTGCATGTAGGCTAGTAAGGATTACTTTGTGGGTTTGATTGGTCTAAAAAGCGGCAACATACAGCTATAAGGACAGTTTGCTCTCACACGTTCTACATTTATAGTCTCACACACACACACACACACACACACCGGAACTTGGCGCGCCCCACCTGTCACGTCTCAATTCCCCACCAGTGGGTCGCGCCACACACTTTGAGAACCGCGGGGCTAGACTTTATAATATTCAGAGAACAATGTTAACAATGGGTATGAGAAAAACTGACCCATTTAGCAGTGGTCATGTCCTTAGAACAGATTAAATTGGAGGTTTTCTATTTGCTTGCTTATATCAGAGGCTTCAAATGCAGGCCTTCATATTCTGATATATTTTGACTGAAATTAGACCGAGTTCTTATATCCATTTTGGATTGCGATCCTTTTTCCCTAAATGTTATATAAAATGTGAGATTTCCTCCGCTCTACATAACACTTCTGCTTCTAATGTTTCTGCTTCCCCTCAGTCTCTAGCTTTTTGCATTCGGAATAAAGCATACAAAGAAATTATGTCACTTGTTCTTGACACAAAATAGAAATTGCATTAAGTTGTTTAAGTGCAGTATTGTTACTTTAATTTAGCAAGACATATTTATGCATGAACTAAAATCAAGCGATCAGAAAAATATTTTATCAAATTGTGATTAAATATGCCAAGTTGCTCTAAAGGCATTACGAGCAGCAGCTGCTGTTAAACTAAAATAAAGTGCTGGTAAAAGGCATTTCTTTTTTTTAGCTTAATTTCATGCAGGCGCCAATTTGTTTATTCAATATGGCAAAACGCTATTATGTACATTATTTTCCACAAAAGGAATTATGGACTAATATGGGTGTCTCCCTCTGGGCTTGAGAGCAGCCTCTTTTTCTGAAACTGAGACGCATTAAAAATCAAGGCCCTGTGGTCCAGATATCAGAATATATATATTGTTTTATAAAAGACGGTGGTTTTAACATAATTTCTTTTTTTTCTTTTGAAGATCTTCACCAGACCATATTACAGTTAAGTTCGCAAACCTTAAAGGTATAGTGGAGGATTTATGCATATTTTTGAAAAGACCCGCCCTCTCCACTTTAAAAAAGAAAAAAAGCACATTCACAACCCTGTACCCACTCCCGAAAGCAGGGCCTCTGGAAGTAATTTTGAACAGGGGGTCCTGTGAAAATGTTTGTCTTTTTTGGACAAAAGACTTCAGTGCATAAAACCGGGGTCTGTAACACAAAGACATCAGTTCTAAGGTGAATATATATGCGCTATTAATTAAACTTCACAATAACACTATAAAAACGGATTTCGGTCAGCTGCCAAGAATTTGAGTCACTGTGTTTATGTCATATATTATGTCAGGTATATTATACTATTTCCTTTACTATAGGGAAAATTATACTATGTAAACGTTATTGAACAGTTCTCCGCATCCATAAACAAAGAATAAAAGATCAAGGTAACACTCTAAAATACCGTAGCTACGTTAAACTGCCCGAATAGATATGAAAGTGCGTGACGGTACCATATTTTTGAGCTACAGGCAGGGTGCACGTGGTCCACATCTTGAGGTGCGCTCTGGGGTCGTGGAGATAAAGTCTCTCATAAGCAGACGAATTCGAAATGTGTTTCTGTGCCATATTTCCTCCTCATTTCATTAACTGTAAATTTACTAGTCTACTGCTGCTACCACTGGTTGCTTGACGTTGCCATGACAACGTCGCTTCCATGAACTTGTGTTGATTAGAGCCTCAAAATTATTAAATAAAAATCCAAATACATGTAATAAAAAAATAATTTAAAAAGTCAAAATAATTTCCTTAAATATAAGAAATTTATAAATCCTGCAAAGTATTTATAATAGAATTTTTTTTAAATCTCCCTGTCACCACTACGGGGTGCTGCAGCACCCCAACTTCCTGCAGCCATGCCCTAGAGCAGTGGTCCCCAACCACCGGGCCGCGGACCGCTACCGGTCCGTCGGTCATTTGGTACTGGGCCGCACAGAAAAAAGTGTGTATATATATATATATATATATATACAGAGATGGGAAGTAACGAAGTACAAATACTTCGTTACTGTACTCAAGTAGATTTTTCTGATATTTTTACTTTACTTTACTACTTATTTTTATGGCGACTTTTTACTTCTACTCCTTACATTTTTACACAAATATCTGTACTTTCTACTCCTTACATTTAAAAAAATTGGCTCGTTACTTTAGTTTTGAATCATTTCAATGGAGTTACCGTTATTGTTTTTCACGTCACTGTGAAAACGGAGCCGTTTTCCCCCTCTGTTCCCAAAGTGTAGCCGCCGTCTATCACGCACAGCGTCACATCCTTCACTACATTTCCCAGCATGCACCACAAACCGGCTATCATGGCAGCGGCAGTTCCAAACAATTCACCAGGTAATTTACACTAGTTCCGAAATTACAACGTCACCTTTCATTCAACACTTTACTTACTCACCAGCGTAGCAAACTCTGAAGGTACCCACTGCGACAGCTTTAATATACATTCCGTAGTCGGTAATAAAACTTCCCAGTCAAATTACACATTCTCTTCACTTAGTCCGTCAGCATACTGGTCCGTGTGGAAACACGTACCGCATCAGAGCCAGTCTCTTATCCATTGTCCCAGGGCATTGGAAAAGACTATTAGGGGGCAGGGGTGTTAAGTGGGATTTCAATGAATGTAATAATTGTTTGCATGGTAATAAGTAGGTGAAATGGTAATGTTAGCATGGTTAAATTATTTCATTAATATGTATGTTTTTGTACGAATGATGCTATTGTCTGTATTTATTTTTCTACAATGTTTTTTTTTTTTATGAACTTTATTTAAACAAGGTGGGTAGAAACAAGTTAGGCAATAAGAACATTAGAATTCTAATTCTATAGAAGGCATAGTAGAGGCAGATTTCAGAATGAAAATACAAAGTAACTTTGATGAGGAAAATAAAAAATGCGTGAGTAATGCTAATAATACAATAAAATAACATAAAGACAAGGGGATTCATATGTTAGGATTAATGTACATCAGTGGGCAGTTCCATTAGTATTTCAGTCAGGTATTTGTAAGATTCGATACATTCAAGAGATGTCAAATATAAATTAAATTCAGATAAAAAAATACTAAAGATAGGGGAGGATCTCAAGACTCTCTGTTTATGAATAAAGAATTTTGCTAAACAAAAAATTAGGTTACAACAGAGTTCTATTGTTTTGTCTTTCAATAGTATTCCAAAAACTACCATATCTCTAGAAATAGAATTAGGGAGTGCAATTTTTGATTTGATCCATCTTTCTAAACAATTCCAAAATGTTTTAGTTTGACTGCATTCATAGAAGACATGGTCTATAGTTTCTACATCACTTTCACAGAATGAGCATTTATTGTCATCAATATTAAAACGGATTCTTAGTAGTTCTTTTGATGGGTAGATGGCAGTTTCTTTAGCTTTTGGTTGTATAGGAAGTTTAAAAAAAAAAGTTCTTGGTATTTCAATTGATTTTTGTTCAAATTTGCAAAGAATGTTATTTTTATTTATTTTCCCAGGGAACAAAGTTTCATTTAGATAGTTTCTAATTGTGTGGTTATTGAATTTTTGATCAGTGATTGATATTCCATTAATAGATAAATCGGGTAGTTTGGGGGTAATTGGATGATATATTATTATATTTTGAATCTGATTAATAAATTGTTCTGGCAAGGCGTTAAGTAATCTTGTAAATTCATCTTTTGGAGGAA